AAATCGACGCGTTTCAGAAAGGCGGGGCATAGAGGAGAAGCAATAAAGTACAGTATGTCGAAAATAATGTGTTTTTTTTTAACCTTAAACCGCATAAACACATTTCATTACACCAAATACACAAAAGAATGTTCTTTTTAGCAACATCATATGACCCCTTTAACATTTCTGGAGCAAAAGGAAAAAAGCCTAATTTTGGATTTTTGTTGTTGCATTTATATGTGGCATACATGTTATAATTTTTTTTTTTATGTCATTTGTAAGTCGCTTTGGATAAAAGCGTCTGCAGTGCTAAATTTCTAAATGTAAATGTATTTTGTCAAGGCCATCACAAACTACATGATCTGCAGTACTGATCAAAGCCTCACATGTTAAAATGTTATTAATGAATCCGAATCATCAAACTAATGCAGAGTTCCTACTGTTAAGCTTTCAGTATGGTTCTCAAGCCACAAGAATATTAATACCATTCTTCCATTTATCAATCACCAACCCAAGTTTCTGAAAGTGGCATGCACCAGGAAGGAGTTTAGAAAGTTTCAGAGTGTTTTCTGAGTTGATATCCAGCCTCCTACACAACCCAGCAAGCCTGTTGAATTTGCTTTGCCTCTGGCAGAGCGCACCAGTTGCTTTTTATAGGCTTCACCGCCCTGACGCAAAGTCTACCCAGAGTGCAATCCCTTGAAGGCAAATTTATTTACCAGTTTGTTGCATGGTTAGAGTGATTGACAATCAATCATTGGCAGTGACAGGCCGAGGACTTTCTGCAGTCTGCCTACAGTGCTGTAAATCACGCCACTGGCTTTTGCTGCACCTTTTCTCACCCTCCAAAAACAAGTTGGCTGATCACCTAAACCTGACATTAGCATCAACACAATATTGAGAAAATTTACACACAAATCATTCTAGTAAACTACTGCTGTGATAAAGATCTGCAACCTTAAGTTTAAGTTTAAGTAGTAAGTTTAGTAGTAAAAGTGGTCACACTTTAGTTTGGGGATCAATTCTCACTATTAATTGGTAACTATGACTCTTCCTCAATAAACTTCTAATTTGCTGCTTATTAACAGTAAATAAGGTATTTATTAAAGAGCAGGTCATATGGTATTTTAAAGTGTCCTAATATTGTGTTGGAGTCCCCTACAACAGGTTCAAATGCATCTAAGGTCAGAAAACATTGTAATTTTCTCAGAATATACATTTAATGGTAGAGTCATTTGCCAATGATTTCTAAACGATTCGTTCCAAGCAAGTTCGGAGCAAACCCCTCCCTTCCATAAGCCTACTCTGCTCTGATTGGTCAGCTGGCCAAGCCTGCTGTGATTGGCACAGAGAGGAGTCCTTGAGCAAGTTAGCGAGCGAGCGCTACCATTGACAAAGCACCTTTACATAAAACAATAACATAGTGCTCCAGTCCGTTCTTATAATAATGTCATAAAATTCAAAAACACTTATGCAAGTGAATCGTGCCCACAGCTAAAGTTTAGCTGCTAAACTGTGAATTGATATTAATGATAAATGATATATTGATATAATTGATATTTTGAGCACTCAATTGAAAA